ATTGGCTCCCACACATCTCGCCGCATGGCTCGTAAGAAGAGAGCCGTCGATAACCCATGCTTGGTGTAAGCCCCGTAATATGGGCATAGCGTTAGCCCATTTGGTGCAGGCAAGGGAATTGACGGGAAGCCAGTCTGCAGAGTATATGTAGCATAAGTAGGCCGCTTCTTTCACCCATCTGGGCCCCGAAGAGCATGCACAGTTGACACCAGTTCGTAGCTGCCAATCTACGACATTCTCGCACACAAATGGGTACGAGCAGCGAATCGGCGATGAGCGTTGNCAGGAGAAGACCTCGACGACCAGAAAAACCAGCCGTGGCCACAAATTTTCCAATGTCCTCCTTGCCAAACGGAAAACCACAGTTCACTGGTTCGCCGCACATAGACGGAATGGCAGGCTGGCTTAAACGCCTTGGCAACCCAGTACGGCAATCCTCTTTCGCTTCGAAGCGTTCTATCTAACCACAAAATAGCATGAAAAGCTCGCTGTCGTCCATGTCGCTGGAACCAAGGGCAAGGGAAGCACTGCAGCGTGGGTCGAAGTGTTTCTTCGAACATACGGGCAGAGGAATGGCAGGCTTATCAAGACCGGACTATACACGTCGCCCCATCTGATGGAGGTCAACGAGCGAATCCGTATCAACTTCGAACCACTCNGGGATCGACCACGTCTTGCAACTGGGGCCGTCCATCGAGAATATTGCATGGCACAAGGCTGGTATTTTCAAGACAGGCGCTGCGGCATTTTCTGCACCACAGACATCGGAAGTATCGGCTGAATTGGAAAAGCGAGCGGCTGAAAAGGGCATAGTACTAAGATTCATACAACTCGACAAAAGCCTCCCAGTCAATCTGCCTGATGTGCAACGACTTAACTGCTCACTGGGAATTCAAGTCAGCAATGCCTTTCTGGCTGCTCAGAGACTGACACCTCTCTCAAAGTACGACATTCTGAAAGGAATAGAAGAATTTTATTGGCCCGGACGATTCCAAACCATTATACATTCGAATCGCGTCTTCTTTTTGGATGGTGCTCATAATGACCTAAGCATCACCGAAGCTGCGAGCTGGTTTTCAAAGGCATCCCAAGATAAGATACAGTCACCTACATCGTGTGTGCTCTACTATAGTGTGTATGTATGCATTAGCTAATGTGTCGCAGCCGGGACTCTTCCGTCACCCGTATCGTTGTATTTTCTCAGATAGCAAAGCGCCGCAATGGCACGCAATTGCTTGAGCGGTTGATTCAATCGCTCCATGTTCCTGTCGACTATATGTTCGTGTCTACTCACCAGCAGTCTTGGGATGGTATGATATTTCCGATAGGAGAGATCACCTTAGTTTCTAAGCTAAACGTGAACAGAGTCCGATTTCGAGAAAGACCTTTTGCAAAGCCAGGCCGAGTTGTGCAAAGGTCTTATCCCACGTGGTAATTTTACGAGTCAATATCCGATAGGCGAGGTATTGGACTCTATCTCTAAACTCGAGCAATCAAGGACATACCATGTACTCGTCACTGGGAGCCTGCGGATTGTCGGAGCGGCACTCCGCATTCTTCAGTCGGAGA